AGAAAAAAATGAACAAGCAAAGTAATTAACCTTGATAATGACTTAACAAGTTTGCAGTTTATATATATATATATATATATATATATATATATATATATATATATATATATATATATTTATATATACTAAAGATAAAAAATATCAGACAAAAAATATAAACTCGATCCTTCACATGAACTTCACATGAAAAATTAACAATATAAACAATTATAAATAAAAAAAGCAAAAAATCAAAAAAGCAAAAAATTTTTAAACTGAAGCAAAAAATATTTTTATAAAATTAAAAAATATATATATTTACACAATATTTACACAACCTACAGGTTTAATTCTCCTTCTCGGTCCATGTAAACATTTGCAATGTAAGCAAGCGCAGCATCATATTTCTATATTAAGCTCACTAAGCTATAGTGGTGCTTTGTTTCTCCAAGTTTTAGATCTTGTGATAATTGATAATTCCAGGACAGTTCACATGCCAGTCAATTAATATTCATTTTCACGTCGAGCATTTTTAATCACAATTGTGAGCAAATCTGTCCTACCATGCAGCCCTCATGTTCACCCGCCGGTTCAGTTTTACCCTCCTTTTTGATCGGTTGCCTCATTAAAGTGACACATGACAAGCAGAGCTTTTACTGCTGAAGTTGAACATTTTTCAGCTTGATTGAGTGGAAACTTAGCTAAGGCTGTTTGGTTGAATTATTGGTGTGTTTTGGAATGCAGCCATGATTCCAGGCAGTTTCAGCCATTGTTTACAACATGACCAGAAGTCATTTAACACTACTGTTTACTATTAATGAACATGGAAGTGTTAGAATGGTCTATTGCTCCACTTTTACTATTCTTCAGTTGTACAAGTCTTCAGCTGCACAACTGTATGGGGCCTTTGTTGCTTTTTTTGTACTTCATAATGCACCACATGTTTTTACTAGCAGACAGGAAGGCCAGCTGCACTCTGATTACACAGCCATGCTGTTGTAACTGATTGAATTTATTATTTACACGTGCAGAATGTTTCTTGGTGTTGTCATGGTGAAATAAGCAAAGACGTCCCTGAAAAGGACGTCTAAAAAGCAGCATATGTTGCTCCAAAATGGGTATATATCCTTCAGTCTTAATGGTGTCTTAATGTCTGTAACACACCCTGATACCATGACAGACTCTGGCTTTTGAACTTTACACTGGTAACAATCTGGATGGTCCTTTTCTTCTTCGATATGGAGAACACGACATCCATTATTTCCATAAATAATCTGAAAGGTTGACTCATCAGACCACAATACAAATTTCCACTGAGCATCAGTCCATTTCACATGAGCTCGAGCCCAGAGAAGTCGGCAGCGTTTCTGTACATTGTTGATGTATGATTTTCACATAGTACAGTTTTAACTTGCAGCGATGACCAGTGTTCATTGACAGTAGTTTGCAGGCATCAATTTCAGAATGAGCATGTCTTTACTAAAACAATGAAGCTGGTAAGATAAAACATCTCATATAATAAGATATAATATAAAAAAAATCTCAATTTTATTGTTTTTGTTTAAATACAAGTCAAAGTAGATTTGTCAATCACTGCTTTCTGTTTTCATTTGTGTGTAACCTACTGTCCCAATGTTTTTAGAACTGGGTTTGTAAATACATAAACAAATAAATAATTAAATGAAAGTGCACTGCAACATATATCACTTGTGAGTAATCAAAGATCATTTTATTTCAGTTGATTTTGATCGGTTTCTACTGGCTATTTTTCGGATTTCATGCAGCATCAGCTGTTCATCCTTTGATCATGACTGACTGTGTCTTGTTTATAGGCAGGGGACACTCGAAGGCCTTTTAAACCATAAATAAGTAAATCCTGTTTAAAAATGTCCAGTGTATTATCTGATCATTTTGATAGTTTGAAGATAACATTACCATGATTTGTGAAAAACTGATCATCCAAACAGAATAAGCTTGTTTATTAAAACACACACACACACACACACACATATATATATACATATATATATATATATATATATATATATATATATATATCACTGTTGTCAGAAGAAAACCTTGTATCTCCAAAATGCTAACTTTACAGGAGAAGGAAGAAAAAAAATACTTTTCTTTTATATATATATATATATATATATATACATATACATATATATAACCCTACTCCTTAAACTGATCATTTTAGTGCACAATTTCTATTTATTTGCTGAGTTCGACATGTTGGAAGTAAAATTTTAAATATAAAATGTTCCATAACTTTTGTACAGACCACATTTTATGTTTCATTTTTTCCAATTTGATTAATTCAGCAAATAAATAGTAACTGTGTATTAAAATGTGCAGAAGTGTGTTCTCTGTAGAGGATGAAAAAACATCATCATTTCATGGGGTGCCCAAACTTTTGCATAGAACGGTACTTGCCTGAAATCAGAACGCTTTTGAGCGAATAACAGCGGTGTGTTTAGGACACGCAGCTATAAGCAGAAGTGCTTTGACCTTCAGGTCACCAGTTATTATATTATTATATTTAATCGCCCAGCTTCATCCAGGATGTGTTTTTGAGTCATTCTGTCATAAAATGAGAAAATTGCTACCTTTGCTATTGTGAATGTAATGAAAATTTGCCTTAAATCACACTCCAGGCTTCTGAAGTACGCACCCATTTCCCATAAGATTCATTATTTGAGAGATACGTACAGTAATTAGTCTGAAGGGAAATGTGTGCACGCTGCACACGCTGGTATGTGACATAGCATAAATCTCCATAAAGTTCACATAAGACAAAATAACAAGGTTCTGCCTTTATGACTGAGAAAACACATTCTAGACGAACTGGGTCAATTAAATATAATAGCAGCACATATAAAGTACATAGAGAGGCTGGAAAAACAAGAGCAGTAGGACGTGTTCAACATGCTCAAACATTCATTTCTGCCCGTTCCAAAGTTGCAGCAGTGTAGTTTTATTTTTCTGTGAATTTCTCTGTTTCACTGCTACCAAAGCAACAGCTAGCCATTTTAGCAGCGTTTAATGTTCATTTAAGGGACAATTTGGCCATAATGGAAAACACATCTGTCGTAAACATGCTTACTCGCCCACTACAGCGTCCTAGAGTGAGGTTTTCCTGTTTAAACACCAGGAACACCCTCTTCTGATGATGCACACCGATCAGGCATAACATTATGAGCACCTCCTTGTTTCTGCGCTCATTGTCCATTTTATCAGCTCCACTTACTATATAGGTGCACTTTGTAGTTCTACAGTTACAGACTGTAGTCCATCTGTTTCTCTGATACTTTGTTATCCCCCTTTTACCCTGTTCTTCAGTGGTCAGGACCCCCATGGACCCTCACAGAGCAGGTACTATTTGGGTGGTGGATCATTCTCAGCACTGCAGTAACACTGACGTGGTGGTGGTGTGTTAGTGTGTGTTGTGCTGGTCTGAGTGGATCAGACACAGCAGTGCTGCTGGAGTTTTTAAACACTGTGTCCACTCACTGTCCACTCTTTTAGACACTCCTACCTTGTCGGTCCACCTTGTAGATGTAAAGTCAGAGACGATAGCTCATCTGCTGCTGCACAGTTTGTGTTGGTCATCCTCTAGTCCTTCATCAGTGGTCACAGGACGCTGCCCACAGGACGCTGTTGGCTGGATATTTTTGGTTGGTGGACTATTCTCAGTCCAGCAGTGACACTGAGGTGGTTAAAAACTCCAGCAGCATTGCTGTGTCTGATCCACTCGTACCAGCGCAACACACGACTGGAAATGATTTTAAAAAATGGCACTTTTGGTTTTTAGCAGCACATTTTGGCCTAAACAAAAAAAGAAATAGCAAAAGATCAAAAAGGCACACAATAAAGCCAACACATCACAAATCAGATGAATAAAAATGTAAAATGGTGATGAAAAATCTCTGTTTGTTTCCTTTGCGCTCCTGAGCCTCTCAGCACTGACACATTCAAACAATTTGAGCAGCAGATCAACAGTGAAAATATCAGCCACGCAGAACTATTTCACAGATTCTTTGAGAAACATTATCAATATTAATAAAAAGTTTAATTTCTTTATTCTGTTTTCTTCATTTTGTTTGTTGCCTTTATTGCCTAGCTTTGTATGTTTAGTATGTTTATTCAAAAGCATAAATAAAACAACAAATAAAAAAAGTAATTGGTTTACCGTTCCAGTTTTCATTTCAGTGCATCACTTAAATATTGTACTTATTTGCTTTCATTTACACTCCTAAAAAAGAAGGTTCTTCAAGGCTTCTTTAGTAAAGAGTATGGTTCTATACAGAACCATGAACACTCAAATAACCCTTTGCATGATTTTGCATCATGAAAGATTGATGGAGAATGTGTTGTTCTTTTTGAAAACGGTTCTATATAGCACGTAACATGCTTGACGTTGTATCAGTAGGTGCTAAACAGAACTCTTTTCAAAAAGCTTCTACAGAGAACCATCTACAACACAGTCTGAAGAACCATTTCACCATGGAAATAACCCTTTAATTCTTTTTTCTTTGAATGTTCATGGTTCTATATGGTATAATTTTCCTTGAAGAAGCAGCTTTTTTTTAAGTGTGTAATGTTGAGTGCTCTAATAAACTGAAAATGGAAATGTTAACATAGTAACAAAATGCAGATTTTGAAATTTTAGAATAATAGAGGGGCAGACATGGGCTGGAGGTTGGGGAACCAGCCTTGTGACCGGAAGGTCGCCGGTTCGATCCCCTGAGCTAAAAGTACGTGACTGAAGTGCCCTTGAGCAAGGCACCTAACCCCCAACTGCTCCCCAGGCACTGTGGATATGGCTGCCCACCGCTCTGGGCAAGTGTGCTCACTGCCCCCCAGTGTGTGTGTTCACTAGTGTGTATTTGGAGGTGAAATTTCCCCCATTGTGGGACTAATAAGGGTCACTTAATTAGTTCATTAATTTTGTGAATTGTTACATCCGCTTCTCTGTCGCTCGTTCATTAGTAAAATATTGTTAATATTATCAGGCGGAGCTGCAGACGTCGGTCAGCAGTCTGGATGTTCTGAGCCGTTTCCAGAAACAGATTGGAGAAGAGAGAGAGATGTCCAGCCAGTCCACTTACAGCACTGCGGTCAGTCCAGCAGCACTAAGGACACACCAGGCGCAGACATCAGCGGGATATCAGGATACACAAACACACAGCACACAGGTGGGCTTTATATGTACAGAGATATACAGATAGACTGTTTATGTAAAGAACAGTAGGAGAGCTTTATACCTTGTGGTGTTACTGTGATTATATCCTACATCAGGGATAAATAGAATTTCTATCAGAATGTGAAAAGAGTACAGATATTGGCCCTCATTCATCAAAGATGCACGCATTTGACCATCCCGAATGATGTATGAAGTGCATACATTCAGGAAACACTCATACAATGATGAAACAAGTGGTTGATTTGAACGCAATTGATGAATCAGCTTCAGTGCGTGAAAACAAGTGCGTGTGCACGAGTACCTTATTTAGGCAATAGAACACAGAGGGAGTGTGTTATCACTGAATAACATCACGGCTGTGATTTGGTGGCCGTAGATCATCACAGCCGTGATGTTATTGGCGATAACACACTCCTCGAGTGTTCTACTGCTTTAATACAACAGTTAAATAAATAAAGTAATATGTTTTAATTAATATGTTTTAATGTTCGCAGTTCCTTCACCAAATTATAGTTCCTTAACGAGCAACTTGTTGCTACGTCAGAGTAACGAGCTCCGCCCACTCGCTGCACAGCCTGCAGTTCGTTCTCCAGCTCCTCACACTAAATTCCCAAACTGTCATCATCACTGAGCAGCTTTTCAGTCGGCAGCTGAGACAGAAGAACAGCTGAACAACCTGGAATCAGCCAGAAATGAACCCAATACCATTCGCCAAACGTGTAGTCTGATCTTCAGAGTCTGACCAAATCGGACTGAGCCATAAAACTGCCGCAATATCAAGTTCAGCTCAGTTTTGCCAATTTTTGTATTAATGCTGTTTTGTTCCAGCCAGTCTGTAAAGCATCTTACAGCCCATTTAGTTTGGCGAATGGTGTTGGGTTCATTTCTGGCTGATTCCAGGTTGTTCAGCTGTTCTTCTGTCTCAGCTGCCGACTGAAAAGCTGCTCAGTGGTGATGACAGTTTGGGAATTTAGTGTCGTCTCATCTTTGACTTTGACGACTTTGACAGCTGTAGGAGACGCTCAAGCCATTTGAACGTTTTTACTTCTTACTTTGCCATAAACAGAAAATGGACACTTTTAAGATCACATTTGACCGACAGCCGATTTGGTCAGACTCTGAAGATGAGACGACACTAAATTCCCAAACTGTCATCACCACTGAGCAGCTTTTCAGTCGGCAGATTTGGTGAGAAAATCAGATTTTTACCTGCTGTGTAAACGTAGCCTTTGAGTACTTTGAGTACCACATTAACTTCGGATGATCCGAGTCCCCCTTGGTGTTCTTTTGGAGATTCTGATCCTTTCGGCTTTCAAAAAAAGTTCTTGCTGGTACACAGCCAATTCATCTTGGTTGTCATCATGCCAACACCACACACCCATGGTCAGAGAGTTCGTGTTAAAAAGTTAGCAAAAATTCAACAGAGGGCAAATAATGTAATGTTGCATTTGGGCCATATGAAATATTGCATTTGATGTGCAACATATCAACATATCAATTACTCACTTGATTGAATTCATTTATTGTCGTCCAAATAAATCGCGCTCGGTGTGTAAAGGCCTGAAGATCCATTATATGGGAGTGATGCTTCACAAAGCAAGACAAGTTTATTTATACAGCACCTTTCAAACACTGCTGTCATTCAAAGTGCTTTACAAATGAGCAAATACAGAGTCGTTTTAAAAAAAACAATTAAAAACAACATTAAAAACATAATTAAAACATGATTAAAACAATACATTTAAAAGAGAAAATAATTAAATTAAAAATCAAATTAAAATCGTCAAATAATCAAATTGAAAACTAAAAGTTAGATCAGGATTTTAAAAAAGTGCTGTTACAGAAGAAAAGGGTCTAGAAATGTCGGCAGTGTTTAAACTGAGCTGAAAGCTGCTCAAACAGGAACGTTTTCAGGCTGATTTACAGTGTCCAGTGTCGGGGCTCTTCTAATGCTCTCTGTCCACTGGGTCCATTTAAGAGCAGCATAGTATCTAAACGCTGCTTCTCCATGTTTCGTCTTCACCTTCGGCAGGACGGTAATTAATACTTTAATGGCCTTTACATCAATGCAGTGTCATTTACTTCATAAAGCATCTCATGTTATCCTGCGAGTACTGACTTAACCCTTTAATGTCCTCACCAAGAAAAAAGCAATGGAATTTTATATTTTGTTGTTTTTTTTTATTTGTTTGGGGCAATAATAAAAACTATTGGTCTTTTTTTTTCGTTTTTTTGACCTCGGAAATATTCACGTCTACCAAACGGTCGAGATGGCGCTTTGTGGCATATATAGTGACTCAAAATGTGCTCTACCAAATGGTTGAGCAGATCATTAAAGGGATAAGCTGTGCATAAATTCTCATGTATTTCTTTTTTTTAAAGGTGTTATTCGTAGCTCATGCATGTGTCATGACGTCTCTGTGTGTTCTAGACATGAGAACTCTGAGCATTTGTCTGTCTGTTCAGTCGTCTTCTCTCTGTGTTTGTGTGCTTCAGGTATTATTTGTGAACGAGGGCGAGGAAGTGGAGGATGATGAGGATAAAGGCTCTCTGCTGAGTGGCTGCTTTGATGAAGAAGCTTCATCCAGGTCTTTTCAGCAGGCGGTGAACGAGTGGAGGGAGAGAAAGCAGGCAGGAGACACAGCGGACGAGAGAGAACCTCATCAGCCCAACCGCAGGGTACCGGGTAACTCACACACAGGTTTTTATACCTCATCAGGACGTGGAATCATGCAGATATGGATCATTCCGCTGAACTGGTTCAAATTCAGAGATGAGAACGCATTTCGGACTTAACTCACCTGGGCTTTAGACTAAAATCCTTTTGATTTGATTGACTCTAGTCCTTAATTATGTTTATTTTATTAAAACAAATGATTGAACATTCTGTTTTGTCACTACCAAAACAGTCATAACACTACAGAAACTTTACCAAATGTTTCAGAGGTGACAATTCTAGCTCATTTTGATCAGAACTCAAATACACAGCCAGTACATGACCAGCAAACACAGCTTTGAACAGCTGTTCACACAGAAAATCATCATATTTTCATTAAAACACAAAAAGTTACTTCATTGCAGAAAATATGACAATTTGTAATGTTCTGCATTGATTTTCTGACTGTGTGACACATTTAGTTCAAAACAGTGGGATCTAACTGCTCACCATGTGGCCATGAGGGACAGGGATGCAGCCTCAATTATGCTCTAAAATGCAGGGCATGGCTAAAATAAGGCTCTGCCTATGGAGTAAAACTTTTAGTGTGTTTCCCCCAATCTCGTTCTCTCTCTCTCTCTCACTCTCTCTCAGTGACGGTGGAGGTGATGGGCACTCAGGCTGGAGAGACGACTCAGCAGCCCATTCATATCGAGTTCAGGGAACACAGTCTGAGCTACATGGAGAAGCTGCTGCTGAAGAAGCACCGCAGGTGAGGAGGACTAGTTTCAGACTATAGATCCAGTTTCTGACACAGTGAGATTCTAAATAGGCTCACTTAGCTTCCTGGGCGCCAATTAAATTCCATGCAAGATCAATTAATGGCTTAACAACTCTTTATCTAAAGCCAGCAGGCTGGAAACAAGCTAATAAAAATAAAGAAAATCCTTCTCTGTGGATTCAGTCTTGGATTAGTAGAACATGTGGTTGCTACATTATCGGTTTTGGTAGAACGTGGTTATGAAATAATAAAAAATGCATATAATATGTGATTTAAAATTTGAATAAAAATGCCTACTATGAGCTTTGAAGTCTTCTCTCGGTAGACTGCATTGTTTTGCTGTTCTCTCTACTGAGAGTCTCAAACAGCTCAATTTACAGACTAGGTCAGTGGCGGCTCCTGTATGCAGGAACATTCTCTATTCTGACTCAGTGTATGGAACAGACCCCAGAATGCTAAGTAGAATGTGATTAAATTAGTCAGCGATGGCCCTGGTTGGTGTGAGGCAGGCTTGCCAATGTCATATTCACAAGAGAACAAGTCAGTTCCACTCCACTCACAGCTGTTTTTGGGTCACTGTTTTTGCCTCGGAGAAATGTTCCATTGACCTGGTCGCATTGCACAGTTCAGCTGCCCCTACAGCCCAGAATAAACAGGAACAGCAGTTTGCACCGTATAGCATCGTTCTCTAAATACACATCATCATTCTTCTACAAACACCCACATTCTCCATCTTACACCGTTACTCTCTAACAAACACCATCATTCTCCACAAAACACCAACATTCTCCAACAGACGCCATTATTCTCTACCAAACACCATCATTCTCTAACAAACACTATCATTCTGCACCAAATACCAATATTTTCCACAAACCACCATCATTTTCTACCAAAATTCTCCACCATCAACATTATCCACTGTACTCCAACATTTTCCACTGTACTCCAACATTCTCCACTGAACTCCAACATTCTCCACTGAACTCCACTGAACTCCAACATTCTCCACTGTACTCCAACATTCTCCACTGAACTCCAACATTCTCCACCATCAACATTCTCACTGTATTCCAACATTCTCCACTGTACTCCAACATTCTCCACTGTACTCCAACATTCTCCACTGTACTCCAACATTCTTCACTGTACTCCAACATTCTCCACTGTACTCCATACTCCAACACTCATACTCACTTTACGTACTCCAACATTCTCCACTGTACTCCAACATTCTCACTGTATTCCAACATTCTCCACTGTACTCCAACATTTTCCACTGTACTCCAACATTCTCCACTGAACTCCAACATTCTCCACTGTACTCCAACATTCTCCACTGAACTCCAACATTCTCCACCATCAACATTCTCACTGTATTCCAACATTCTCCACTGTACTCCAACATTCTACACTGTACTCCAACATTCTCCACTGTACTCCAACATTCTCCACTCAACATCTCCACCATCAACACTTACATCTCCACTGTACTCCAACATTCTCCACTGAACTCCAACATTCTCTACTGAACTCCAACATTCTCCACCATCAACATTCTCACTGTACTCCAACATTCTCCACTGAACTCCAACATTCTCCACTGTACTCCAACATTCTCCACTGAACTCCAACATTCTCTACTGAACTCCAACATTCTCCACCATCAACATTCTCCACTGTACTCCAACATTCTCCACTGTACTCCAACATTCTCCACTGAACTCCAACATTCTCCACTGAACTCCAGCATTCTCCACCATCAACATTCTCACTGTACTCCAACATTCTCCACTGAACTCCAACATTCTCCACCATCAACATTCTCACTGTACTCCAACATTCTCCACTGAACTCCAACATTCTCCACTGTGCTCCAACATTCTCCACTGTACTCCAGCATTCTCTACTGTTCTCCAACATTTTCCACTGTACTCCAACATTCTCCACCATCAACATTCTCCACTGTACTCCAACATGCTCCACTGTACTCCAGCATTTTCCACTGTACTTCAGCATTTTCCATCATCAGCACTCTCCCTTAAACACTTAATATGCTACCAAAAATCAACCCTGTCCACCGTACATCATAACATTTGAAAAGGTTGATTGGAATTTGAATTAATTATTGTAGGTACAATCTTTTTTGCAGAAAAGAAAAACATCCTTTACATTTTTGAACTTGCTGATACAGAATGTAAACGTTATTTTTATGTAACCTTGTAATTAATTTTATAATTACTAACTGCATTAAATCATATTGTAAAAGGACAGTAACAGGTCTAGATTTCGTACACTGCTTCTCTCTGTCAGTACAGAATAATATCAAAAGGCAGCAACACCCAGACTGCTTCTCCCTCACAGCAAACCTGCTAAGCTTTTTGAGCCTTGTCTCTGTTGCATAAGTGTTATATTGTTGCCATGGTTTTTGGGTCGGCTATTCTAAGGGCCTCAATTGTAAAGCCATTAAACTGCCTTTATTTCAATATTACAGTCGGCAGAGGAACAGAACGCACAGTGCCCGGTGTTTGTGTGGAGGAGCGAGACTTAGCCAAAAGCCAAAAAGGAGAGAAGGAGGCAAAGACAGAGAAAAAAAGACAGAATGAGCGAGACGTTCCTCTTTGGATTCTTCTTGTAATGCACTTGTATGTTAAATTGTTGTTTGAAGGGCGAGGAGAGGATTTAGAGGAGCTGCCCGAGGGCCGGCGAAGGGAAGCTCAGTTGGGTTTCTGAAATACGCTCAGACACTGCAGCTCTCTTTAGCTTCACCCTGCCCTTTGATGTTGGAGGAATCAACACGCTGTTTGCATTCACATCCATATTGACCATTACAGAATGGATAGTTTGGGTTTCAAAATCTGATTAGCTCAGACACAAATATGACTGCATGCATCACCCGAATTCCAAATTAATATGCCAAGTTATTAGGGTTATTGTGGTGTCATGTATAGTCATGGTATAAGATCTGATGTTTACCCCACCATTGGCATTTTCAAAATACAGATAAAAATGCATAGAAATGCAAAATACACAGGAGGCGGGCCGGGAAGCTCCGAAAGCCGAAACGTCCTCAGCCATGAAGGGATAGGATTTTGCTGCAGCCAAACACCACAAGTCCAGGTACCCTCATAGCTACAATGCAGTGCCACCCAAGTGGCCAGCCCAGGCGCCAAGTAGCTGCGATATAGCGTCGCTTAGGCAGCTGGCCCGAGAGGCCTCGTAGCTGCATCGTAGCACAGCTCATGCAGCCAAACACTACCGGTCCAGGCAGCCCCACAGCTGCAGTGCAGTGTCAACCAAGCAGCCAGCCCAGGCTGTGATGTCATGTTGATCAGGTCCCCAGTCCAGAGAGCCTCGTAGCCACGATACAGCAGTCTCTCAAGCGGCCGGTCCAGGCTGCGTCATAACTGTGATGTGCCATTCAAACAGCCCAAGAAGCCTTTAAGCTGGGGTTGGAAAATCGCTCTCATCTGCAATCTCGGTGGACATGATGGCGAACTCCTCAGCCAGCAGGCAAACATCTAAACATAAACACAAACAATACAAAACAAACAAAAAACTGATGTAAAGCAGCAGCCATATTGCGCCAGCTTACTTACAGCGGAGCACACACACACACACACACACACAAACACAGTTGCTTGAAACCTACATGAAACCAAGAGTTTAGTTTCATGAAATGTTTGTGAAGCTAAATTGCGCTTAAGTTGCATCTATTATGTAAAGCATCTTGCAACGTAGTTGAATCTCAGCCACAACCATTAGACTTGCCTTTGTAGAACTAGTTTCGTGAAACAGCCAATCAAAATGAAAGCTTAGATTACTTTGGAAACCAAATGCTAAAACTTATTACTGGAGAAGTTAGTGAGATGTGCTAAGATGAACTTGCAGTGCTTCTAGGACAGAATGAGCGGAACATCTAGTACATCTGGTACAACCCAACAACGCAGAGTTAAACAGTAATTTTCAAAGGCTTATTATACACAAACTGAATTAAAAAGTCAAATATATAGAGAAAAACCACAGATGCAGATGAAAGATAAATAAATAGATATGGAAAAAAGAACGAGCTAATGAGCTAATGAGCTAATGCTAATGAAAATACTAAAGCTGATAAACTGCTAATAAACTAGACTGTCTGGAGGAGGAACTGTTAGTAACACTTTATAATAACAGGCCACAATAAAAAGCAACTCTATCATTATATAATAGTTTGTTAATGGTAATTAATAATGGTATAATTCCATCCATGTGAATTATTAACCATTTTCTTAGTGACACAAATCATTAAAGCATTGTAAAAGGTTTTTTTTTATATAAATGAGTTATTTTACAGAATGTAGACAATTCATTCATAATAATTCTGAATAGTTTTTATGCAGCTAAGTAAATGCTTAATATTTCATATTATATTTGAGTTATATTTGAGAATCAAATAACTAAATCATTATTAACAAGCTGTAACGAATGACTGTGTTTCTAGAATTCAAATGAATTGTTGAATGATTATATCTCACTAAGTCAATGGTAAATAATTGAAATCCTATCATTTATTAATTCATATGTTACTGTTACATAAGTATTAATGAACTATTAAATAGTTACTGAGTTCCTGTTTATTAGGGCCTGTTATCAAAAAGTGTTATTGAATTGTTTATTTTGATTATTATTAGTAAGAAATGATATACTGAACATAGGTGTATTTATCAGAATGTATTTTGTCACTGTTCTATAAAGGTCCACTGTATCAGTAATCCACTGTAGGCTGTGTGTTACAGTAACGTTGTGCCACTTCATGTCTAACAACATCCCTTAACTGTGGAAAAATCACTGTAATGCACAACGTACAGGTTTATTCCATCTGTTAGAATGGAAACTGTCCTTTTTCCTTTTGGTCACTGAGGCACAAGCTTACACTAAGCTTCAAGTCCACTCTCTGCACAATTTTCATGGCAGTAGACGAATGTATCTGCAGAGTCAGCTTATTAATGGCGCGTCTCCAAAAGCCTCAGTCGTTAGTGGTGAACAAATAAGCCACGGGCAAAGTGTATATGGGTAACTAAGTATTAATGTAAATCTGCTCCAGAACTCAAACAGAAAGGAAAGCACTAGAACTGTAGAGACACACAGGCAAAAACAGGATTTTTCATTTCATAATATATGCTGATTGTGAAACCTGTGATGAACTTGTTTAGGTCTTTGATTAAAGTACGCATAAAAACGTCAGACTCAGAATCAGGTTTATTCACCCTGAAGAGCAGAGCGTGAGCAGAGCTGGAGCCGCCGTCACTCCACTGAGCCTGCATTACAAATCTAATCTGATTTACTGCAACAACAAATACCAACATTCTGTCATTGGTGCTTTATTTTAGTCTGTTCCACAATTAAAAGCAACAGTGTGAATGGAGGGATCACATTCTAGAACAATGTGAATGGACAAGAACATTCCTGAACAGTGTGAATAGACGAGCAACATTCTAGAACAGTGTGAAATGGAGGGAGAATATCCTAGAATAGCATAAAAGAGGAGAACAGTGTGAATGGACAAATGATGGAGAACATTCTAGAACAGTGTGAATAGACGAGAACATTGCAGAACAGTGTGAATAGACAAGAACATTCTAGAACCCTGTGAAATGGGGGAGAATATCCTACAATAGCATACAAGAGGAGAACAGTGTGAATGGACAAATGATGGAGAACATTCTAGAACAGTGTGAATAGGCAAGAACATTCTAGAACAGTGTGAATGGACAAATGAGACAGAACATCTTGGAACAGTGTGAATAGGCAAACACTCTGTCTACTGTGTCCACTCAGTGTCCACTCTATTAGACACTCCTACCTTGTCGGTCCACCTTGTAGATGTAAAGTCAGAGACGATAGCTCATCTGCTGCTGCACAGTTTGTGTTGGTCATCCTCTAGTCCTTCATCAGTGGTCATAGGACGCTGCCCACAGGACGCTGCTGGCTGGATATTTTTGGTTGGTGGACTATTCTCAGTCCAGCAGCGACACTGAGGAGTTTAAAACCTCCAGCAGCACTGCTGTGTCTGATCCACTCAGACCAGCACAACACACACTAACACACCACCACCACGTCAGTGTTACTGCAGTGCTGAGAATGATCCACCACCCAAATAGTACCTGCTCTGTGAGGGGTCCATGGGGGTCCTGACCACTGAAGAACAGGGTAAAAGGGGGCTAACAAAGTATCAGAGAAACAGATGGACTACAGTCTGTAATTGTAGAACTACAAAGTGCACCTATATAGTAAGTGGAGCTGATAAAATGGACAATGAGTGCAGAAACAAGGAGGATGTGTATGTTTGGCACAACAACCAAACGTTTCCATTTGTGTTTGGTCAGCCTCTTTGGTGTTTGTTGGGGATTGTTGGGTCAGTGTGCCGCGGCATTACGATCAGTAAAACAGGTAGATGTTCTGATTGGACTCTCTCCTTTACTGCTTTGGATTTATGTTCTTTCTCTCTTTCAGAACTCCGCTTGAATCTTATCGTCCGCTTCCTGCCCCGACCTCCCCACGGGACCTGCTCAGGCGCTCACCCACACAGCCTGCCGAGGAGCTAACAGGTTAGCATCATTTCATCACTCGAACACAGTGATGGAGAAATACACGTTTATACATACTGTATGCGAACAGGGATTCGATCAATAAATGAAATCGTTGCAAACCTCTCCAACTCGACAGCCCCACAAAGACGGACACGCACACATGCACTCCAGGAAAGTTCGTTTTTCACTCCGTCTCCGCTCAGGTCAGCGGAGCCCCAGTGCCAATCCATCACGGTGCCGCACTGAAGGCTAATCACAGGCTGTTATTATGGTGGAGAGGCTGATGGGTTGACGGAGGTCTCTGACAGCTGTGCCGTGAGATTGGGTCTGAGTTCTAGAGGTGAACAGAGAGCTACAGAGCTCATCTGTCAAAGAGGCCATCCTCCATCTCCAACTCCAACTACTCACCCCAACCCCGAGCAGCTCTCCGCGCTCTGTGCAGCCTGACGAGAGGTGTAAAAATGCATGGATCTATCAGCGTGAAGGTGGAGATCCAGTCGATTTTACGTTAGAATCAAATAGAATCAGTTACAATGATATTCATTTTAACACAGTTATGCTGCGTTTGCATGTTTGCGGTAGACGGACGATGGCAAACTGGATGGTCTGTTGCTTTCAGTGCAAAATTCTGCCACTATACTCTTATAAATAAAGGTATGAAACTGTCACTGTCTTGTCTCTGTGGTGGTACCTCAAGGGTCCATCTCAGTACCTTTATTCAGGGAACATAACTGTACCATAATCCACTGAAATGATATTCTCTAAGCTGTACTGACTCCACACACCCCGTCTCGTCTCCAGGCTTTTATTTTACTGTTCTGTTTTAAAATGTTAGGTTGTGAAAATAGGTTGATGTCCTTCATCAGTGGTCACAGGATGCTGCCCACAGGACTCTGCTGGCTGGATGTCTTTGGTTCTCAGTCCAGCAGCGACACTGAGGTGTTTAAAAACTCCAGCTGCACTTCTGTGTCTGATCCACTCGCACCAGCGTGACACACACTAACACACCACCACCACATCAGTGTCACTGCAGTGCTGAGAATGACCCACCACCCAAATAGTACCTGCTCTGTGAGGGGTCCTGACCATTGAAGAACAGGGTAACAAAGTATGCAGAGAAACAGATGGACTACAGTCTGTAACTGTAGAACTACAGAGCGCTCCTTAATGGTCAGTGGAGCTGATAAAATGGACAGTGAGTGTAGATACAAGGAAGCAGTTTTAATGAAGAGGCCGGTCGGTGTACACCCCCCCCCAACACACACACACACACACACACACATATATGTACAAAGATCTGTCACATGTGTGACTGTAATTTTTTTTAAGAGATTAGAGATTTCATGATGCACTGAATCATTTCTTAAAGACCGGTAATTGAATCGTTTCCTAGCGATTCACCTCCCTGACCTTCACCCTTTCTGACGCAATCCCACAATCCTTCTCTGCCTCCTGAATGTGAGCTCTCTCATATTCTCCTGTTCAATCAGGTCTTTTAGCTCCTCTTACACGCCTCCCTGCTGAGGCTCCAGTCCTAAATGTGACTTTTAATCAGGCGTAGAGGTCCGGGGTCAAGCTCCTGACCCTGTTCCCTCGAGACCACAGCTTGTCCCGGCTTTGTTATAAGTCCGACAGAATGAAGTCTCGGCGGACGAATCGAAAGGCGTCCGGCTCAGGAGAATTCGGAAATCGAGGCTTTTTCTCGGCGAGGTGGTCCGCGCTTATGAATAAAACATGTGTTTTGCACATGGCATTTGGACAGGACTTCACTGCGAGTTAATTGCTTTCGGCCGTTTGTTCCTTTGGGCTATTTCCTGATAACCGTTGTTGCAAGTCCAATAGAGGATATGAAAGTGTTGACTTTACGTAACCGTTCAAATATTTTAAAAGGAAATGAATTCATTAGTCTTCATTCAGAGGAGTCCGTTCTGTGAGCGGACTCCAAATGAGTGTCCTCCATTCACTGTCACTCTGTGTCCTTGATGTCCTTCCAGCAGCGACTGTAGACCCGACTGTACCTGTGTTTGTGTGCTGCTCTTTTGTTACAAGCCTCAAAGGACTGATGCTGCTTAAATGACCCCTAGAAGGTGCAGTTTCTGCTGTAACAATATGTTATCAATTGATATGAATTATTTCCCATTGTTTATTGAAACAAGCAGAGAAGTTGTGTGGAAAGTGCAGGTTGTAAACTTGTTTTATTATGTTTTGAATTTGATAAAAAAGTTATTGTTGTGAATGAAGAAATATTCTATACACCGTGTTTTGTTGTTGTTTTCACATCAAAACAAATGCAAAAAGTCAAGTGCAGACTGTCGGTACAGAATGTAAGTCAGAAATCAAATGTAATTCATTACTACTTAACTATGTCAGTTAATAAGTGAATCAAATTACGCGTTTTGTTGATTTGCTAACTGAAATATAATTTTTCTCTGCACAATTTCATTTAATCAATTGGAAAAAAAAATACACTGTAAAATGTACACAGCATAAAACTTATGCACATTCCTCATTTTATACTTTATTTTTTCCAGCAAATAGAACTTTAAATAGAAGTTTGGCTGGAGATAGAACCTTTTTGTGTTCTAGATAAAGAGTCCAAAAATGCAGACAACTTAAAAAACACCTCACATAATGATAAGAAGTTCTCACAGAATAAGAACATGTGAAAGACTCCATTGAAAACCCCCATAATTCCATGGGGATGACTTGTTGAATTGGAAATACTGTATTAAATGTGTTTTTGTATTTATTTTCCACTTTGATTGGCTGAAATGCGTCTCCACTTCACTCCTGTCATATAATCTCTCTGGCTCGTATCTTTGTGCTGCAGCTGAGGAGATGGACCTGCACAAATACTGCGCGTCTCTGTTTGCCGTGTCCAGCCCTGCAGGAGGAGAACGACCGGATAAAACTTCCAAATCCTGCCTGAGTATCACGGAGATAGACGAGGTAAACCTGAGCTGCAGTGGCCACGTTCTCTGAGGCCGCCACACCAATCACTCGTAGGCAAGAACGGCTAAGATATCCACTATCTTGAAGGTTTCGAATGATGACCCCACGACGTGCATATAAACTCACCGTTTTCATCTCCTCTCTGAACTCCTGCCTCTGTTTCTCTCCAGGCTTTTTCCTCTCACTCGTTTTTTGTGGTTTTAATTTTTCAGACGGTCGGGAGCTGTCCGGCGTTCAGCTCTTCTGGAGTCCAGCAGGGAGACGATAAGCAAAAGTAAGACGTGCTACATATAGGAAAGTGATTATATGGAGGAAAACAAAAGCAGTTTCCCAGCATGTCTTGTCTTCAGGCAGGAGTTCTGTTCTAATGGGAATGGTTCTGTTTTTGATTGGTGGAACGTTATGCATCCGCTGCAGTGCCAACATTGATGTTTGCGTAAAGCAAAATAAGATGTTTTTGTTCATTTTGCTGGACAAACTGTTCAAACGATGGGAATCATTCAATAATACAGAAATAATTTTGCTGCAGACGTCATGTATAAAACGATTCTGTTAAGATGCTGAAACTCTATAACTTCAGAGTTTTGTCCATAATGATAAATGTAGCTATAGGTTCTAAAAGAACTAATTGAGAAAATGAAGCTATAAAATGAACGTCTAGAATGCCTTGTAAGTGGTGATCAGATCTTGTAAGTGGTGATCAGATCTTGTAAGTGGTGATCAGATCTTGTAAGTGGTTATCAGTTCTCAAGGAACATAACTTGACCAGAAATTACTGTCAATAAGTTAGTACAGTATATTATTTACCATTTTATACATTTTTGTTGTTGCCAGTAAGCTTTAAATTTTGAGTAAAATGTCTAATAGCATCTCTGGTTTATAGTATATGATATTTCATTTTACACTGCAGTTAATAATAACAATTATTATTATTATTATTATTATTATTATTATAATATTATATGACACATGATTCCAAACTTTTGAACAACGGTATGTGTTAATTTTATCTGTTTTTTTTTTTTTGCCCCAAAAGATTGAATCAAGGAAGCGAGAATTCATTTACCGCTTCAGAAGAGAGTCCAGCAACTCCATCAACCTCCTCACATGGCAGTTTCGCTCTACCTATTAAAAGAACAAGTCAGTCACCAGAGCCAATCCCAACATCACCACCATCTGACCAATACTCACCATTAGTCAGATCCCAGAAATCAGAGAACCTGAAACTAAAATTAAGTGTAGATCAGCAGGTGGAGCACAAACTTCAAAGAACACAGTCTCCGAGACTTGGTGACTTACCCAAACCACAGATGGCGAGAGGTTCTGCTCCACGAACACCCAAATTCACATTTACAGAAGCAGCACTTTCTTCTTCTCCGGTGTCCTCCAAGACCAGTTGGAGCCAAGGTGATCTAGAAGCTCAGAACAGAGATTCCTTTCTTTTGCCCCCAACCACTGTCCATCACCTGTGTTCTCTCTCTCTTCTGGCCCAATGTTTAGCCCAGGATCTCCTGATGGCCATCATTTAAGCTCTGAAGTGACAGCCTCATCTGCTAAACCACTTACGCCCAAGTCACATACTACAACTTCAAGCCCAAGATCGGTAGTCCTCAAGTCCACTTCAGATTCTCCAATCTCAAGCCCAAAGCCTGTGGTCCTCAAGTCTGTTTCCCGTTCTCCAACCACCAGCCCAAGACCAGTAGACTTCAAGTCCACTTCACATTCTCCAGCCACCAGCCCAAGACCATTAGTCTTGATCTCTACTTCAGAATATTCATCTCCTAGCACAAGACCAGTAGTTCTCAAGGGTCCTTTATGTTCTCCAACCTCCAACCCAAGACCAGTTGTCCCCATGTCTCCTTCATGTTCTCCAACCACCAGCCCAAGACCATTAGACCTCAAGTCCACTTCATGTTCTCCATCCCCCAGCCCAAGACCATTAGACCTCAAGTCCACTTCATGTTCTCTAACCACCAGCCCAAGACCATTAGACCTCGAGGCTTCTTCATGTTCTCCAACCATGAGCCCAAGACCATTAGACCTGAAGGCTTCTTCATGTTCTCCATCCACCAGCCCAAGACCATTAGACCTGAAGGCTTCTTCATGTTCTCCAACCACCAGCCCAAGATCATTAGACCTGAAGGCTTCTTCATGTTCTCCATCCACCAGCCCAAGACCATTAGACCTGAAGGCTTCTTCATGTTCTCCATCCACCAGCCCAAGACCATTAGACCTCAAGTCCACTTCATGTTCTCCATCCACCAGCCCTAGACCATTAGACCTCAAGTCTACTTCAGAATATCCAGCTCCTAGCTCAAGACCAGTAGTCCTCACATCACCTTCATGTTCTCCAACCTCCAGCCCATCCCTTGCTAACTCCCAGTCACAGTGCACCAGCTCCATACCCCAGCAGGCTTCAGTTCCATTATCTGCAGAGTCACAGTCCCCAGAGGATGATTCATTGGCTTTGCCTGACTACTTTCATCCATCATCAAACTCTACAAGGCCAGCAGACCTACACAGGTCACCTCCAACTCCGAGCTCTCCACTTCTCCTCCGCTGAGCTTGTCGGGTCAGTATGTGTAGTCAGGCCTGGATCATCTTGGTTTTATGAGACCAGGGGCCGTATTATAGAAACGTCCTAACTCTTAAATCTTGTCTGATCTGTTTAGTCACCATGACGACTTCAGTAGGACTGAATTTTGAACAGTTGCTATTACAGAAAAACAGTTCCTAACTTCATAATCTCATCATGAACTCCAGATAAGAAAACAGCATCACACAAACATCCTAACTAGACTGAACCTCCTAAATCCTGTCCTAACTTTAGGATGAACCCCAACAGGGTCCTCACTTCTGTTTAAGGTCCGTTTCTATGGTTTTTAGGCAGCTGAGTCAGCAGCATAGTTCACTACCAGCATAATGAGCTCCATTTATTTCTACTGTAAAACGCTGCTTTCACTGTGAGATGATTTTCTTTTCTAACTCTGCGTTTTAAAGATCTCAGACGCTGCAGACTCGATCTCCACCGCCCCTCTGATCACCTTCGTGTGTTAATGTTGATGATGAAATATTACAGTGATGGTGGTGAATAATGAGGAGACGGAGCTGAACGTGTGTCTGTTTATTAGGAGGAGTAACGTTAGCGCGCTCGGCTAAAGCGTTTGGGAAATGGAGACTGAAACTGGGCAGCGGCGACACTCTGATAAACAGCAGGGGGCGCTCTCACAGTATTCATAACACAGTTTATTGCAGTTTAGTTTTGTTTTGTTTTGTTTTCCATCAGTAGCACTGGCCGTCTGACTGACTAGCTTACAGTATTTTGATGACGTGTTTACGTTTCTGCTGTGCGCATATTGTTGGTTGCTTAGTGAGAAAGGATTCCTAAATTGAGATAAGATTTGCTTTTGTGATACGAATTTGTGAAAATCATATCTCACCTGTCAAACCTTAATTTACGACGAAAAATAGGAAGTTTCTGTAATATGGCCTCAGGGCGCCAAGCCACAAGGGGGCCGCTGTGAGCCACTTTGACAACACAAAGAAAGTATATATGGCCTGGTAACAGACTGATGTAATTATTAAGCAGTATGATTGGTAAAATTAGATAATAGTCTGTGTGAAACACAAAAAATAGTGAATAATTGCTTTTTCTGGCTGTAAAAAAATGTAAAACTGCTATTTTTTATTTTTGTTGTTGCTAGTTGTGTAGCCTTTTGTTTGAACATAAATCGCAAGTTATGGTTTTGAAATATTAAGCATTTTTAAGTATTGTATTGCAACGGCTTATAAATAGCTTTGCATTTTGTTCGGCTTTGGAGAGCAAACAGCTTTGCTGCTGAAGTCTACAGTTACTCGTCTTGACAGCTGACTTGACATTTCGCCCCTCCGAGGGCTCATCTAACAAACTTCACTTGAGCTACTACAGTAATGGAGCGGCTGGTGAAACGGCCTCCTTTGAGGGGATGGTTAGGCCTAGTGGGTGGGGTCATGTTAAAAGGAGTATTAAAACTGGCAGTAGACCCCCCAGACATTTGTGTCCAGGCACTTACAATAAGAAACGAGCCGTAAAGAACGGACTTGCCGTTTGTTTTGACATTCAGAGGGCAGCACTAATTGTCTGTCTTTAGTCAGTGCTGTGGTAATTATAGACTGACTAATGGCAAGTTTGTGTGTTTTTGTTGCTGAAGCTGCGCTCAGCGGGGTCCACAGTCACTGCCACTGTCCACTCTCCACTGTCCCCGCTGCTCTGCCAAAGTCAATTTAGACACAGCGATAAAGGCTCGACTTCTTTAGATATCGATTAGAGTTTTAAGTAAATACTTGGCATGTTAGGCCAGTCAGGAAGGTAATTATGCACTGAGGAACATCTCTAGAATACAAGCAGAGGAACCCAATCACCAGCAGCCCTGCAGCCCTCAACAGTCTGAATCAGAGAGGAGCAGTAAATACAGTCGTGTGCAAAATGTGGTCTGTGTTGAAGTTATGGCAGTTTTATTTTTTCCAACATGTTGAACTCAACTTATAAATAGAAATTATGGTTAAATCTTGCCAAATAAATAAATAAATAAATAAAAGATTGCCGCTTGTATATGAAACGGTTATGATACGCTGCCTGATGTCTGACACACTGTTTCAGTACAGTTTGAGATGAGGTTTTGGCCTAAAAGACATTTTTAAAGCATATTTGTAGTGGAGAGATACATGCAGGGCGTTCTAAGGCAAAATACTCCCCAAAGAAAGCTTATTTTGATTTACCACTATTTTATTATTATCTTCATTCCTTTTAACACTTAAATGGCTATTTTTGCTGTATCTTAAATTCCTCTTTTTTATTTATTTACAGTGTTCTTGTCTTTCTGTATGTCTGTCTGTCAGTCTGTCCATCCATAAACCTATACGTCTGTCTATATGTCTGTCTGTTTGTCTGTCTGTCTGTCTATCCGTAAACCTATATGTCTGTCTGTCTTTCTGTCTATCTGTTTGTCTGTCTGTCATCTATCTATCTGTCTGTCTGTCTGTGTGTCCATCCATTTACCTATAAGTCTGTCTGTCTATCTGTCTGTCTATCTATCTATCTCTCTGTCTGTCTGTCTGTCTGTCTGTCTCTGTCTGTCTGTCTATCTGTCTGTCTCTCTGTCTGTCTCTGTCTGTCCGTCTGTCCATATACCTATACATCTGTCTGTCTATCTGTCTGTCTGTCTGTTTGTCCATCTATCTATCTATCTATCTATCTATCTATCTATCTATCTATCTATCTATCTATCCCTCTGTCTGTCTGTCTGTCAGTCTATCTGTCTCACTGTCTGTCTCTGTCTGTCCGTTTGTCCATATACCTATACGTCTGTCTGCCTATCTGTCTGTCTGTTTGTCTATCTATCTATCTATCTATCTATGTGTCTGTCTGTCTGTATGTCTATCTATCTATCTATCTATCTATCTATCTATAATGTCTCTTTCTTGCTGTTGTTTTGTTCAGATTCAGACTCTCTGAGTGACAGTGTGGGTCTGATACCTGCTGATGAAGACTCCTCTGATGAAGAGATGAGGGGATGTGCAGACAGAGAGCAGGAAGAGGAAGAAGAGGAAGAGAGAAGCACTACATCTCTCCATCGTACTGTCTCTCCCACTGGAGACGCTCCTCTCAGCCTGCTGGACTCAGTGCAGGAGACTCCACATTCAGGCCTTTTCACTGAGCCGTCACAGGTGAGTAAAGCCAGCAGCAGGAGAGCCTCAGCACTGCAGAGCTACAGTTCACACCCTGAGAGGTCACAGTTACCACCAGCGATAACTAAAACATGCTGTAATGTGATATGAATTATTTCTGACTCATAGCTCACTGAACCAAGTGGAGAAACTGTGTTGAAAGTGCAGATTATAAACTTTAAATCCATACCACATTTGTTTTTATACATAGGAGAGGAGATATATGAATTTGATGATCCTCATTGTTGTGTGTACAGTCTTATTTTGCAGGAAGAAAAAAAAATCCTTCGCATTTTTGTCAATTTTACATAACAGCAAACAGAAAAAGTCAGAAGAGCAGCCTCAAACCTGTCCATACAGAACATAAATACATAAAAGTCTGAGCTCTGTTTAATCTTACATGTAAACACGGTCACGTAAGTAGCTTTTTTGTCTTTTGAGAAATATCTCTAAAGTTCATCCTTTTCTCTCTCAAAGCGACGCAGAGAAACTTGTTCATGCATGTGTTACAAACGGAGTTGATCACTGTAATGATCTTCTTCCTGGAGAAAACAATCCTTCCTCTACAACTCAAAATGCATTAGCATCCAAACAAAAACAACACAGAGAGATCAGATCACTCCCATTTTGAAAGAACTGCACTAACAACCTGTATAATTCAGGATAGATTTTAAAGTTCAGCTACTAGTTTCTAGGCTCTAAATGACCTTAACCCTTGTGTGGTGTTGGGTTCTGTGGCACCCATTTTCAATGTTTACCTAAAGAAAAAATGATGTGATTTGATTTTATTTCAAGCTCAGATTCTTGTCCTTTGCTCATTTTCTGTGAAGAACATATAAAATAACCCATTTTCAGTGTCTTCACTCTGTTCACCCCCCACACATTTATATTACACATGTGGTGTTGGGTGAACCTGCGGGGAGTAAAAGTGTGGAGGTGCTGTGTCCTTCACTCTGTTCTCCTCCTACATGGCCTGCTGTTAGTGTGTCGGTGTGTGTGAGGGTGGACAACATGGACAGGCTGCTGACTGGCTACAGCTGCTAAAGGAGAACCCTACACTGGACACTTATATTTAAACATCTGGTATTTACATAAATAGTTATGGCTGTATTGATTTAAATAAACAATAATGTGGTGGGTCCAGCAGACCACTGAGTAACACACACACCAACACCACACACGGGTTAAAGCTTCTGCTTACATCACAGAGCGTCTGTCTGTTTATGTTCCAGCACGTGATCTTAAGCCCATTTCACACCAGATGCGGTGCGGTACTTATCTGGAACCACTCCGTGACGCTTGTTATTTCACACTGGAAGCAAGAGCCGTTGCTGTTTGTGTTGCATTTTCACGTACTATAAACGTCTGTATGGTCTGCTTATTACTCATATAAACTTTATGTAGATGACGAAGAGATCAACACTAAATTTTGACTAGCTGGCTTGAATGTTGCCAAAGCAGAAATCTGATTACTGTCTGACTCATGTAGACCTGGAGTTTCCTCATTATCTGATTACTCAAGTGCATTTAAACGCATTGATTGGATTACTGACAGAATCAGATTTTCTGCAGTTATCGGAATATTAAGTGTATGTAAACACACTCATTGTCTCAGTCATCAGGCAGTGAATTCATAACCATTTCGTATAATAACTTTCTGTGAGGGAGCTTTTAGAGGTGGACGTCTGGTTCCTATCACCACCACTGTGAACAGTTCTGACTCTAGACAGTTCTATTTCTCTAGAACAGAGCATGTGGGTGGAGTTCCCATTGAAATCAAGGTGCTCACACGGCTCATACATGACCTCTCTCTCTCTCTCTCTCTCCCCATATTCTAACACTGTGGGATTGAATGGAACAATCTGCACCTTTATTCATTAACTTTCCCACCATGACCTGCACTGCAATTATCATTAAGTGCATTTTTATGTCTAATTACGTGTCTCTAACTGTCACCAGCACATGCAAAGGTCACTGGTGCTCCTATGGAAAGTTTGTAACTCGCTGGCTGGTGTGAGGATGTTTTTAAAGCTGTAGTTCAGGCAAAAACAATACATTTTACCCAGTTTCCTCCCATTTATCCCAAATGTAGGCAATCAGCCAAGACATGTTTGGTGTATGAAGTCTGCTTTCTTAGTTTTAGTGCTGGAGCTATGAGGCTAATGTGATGTGAGCCAACAAATAATGAAAGTTTCTACTACCAATTAGCATGGTGCTAACCGCATGCCTACATCATCACACGGTTACTTCAAACCACATCCAGTTATTAACGACATGAACCTGACGAACTTGGTCCCAGACCCAGATTTCAGTGTCTAGAACCGGAGCTTTCTGCGAGCTACCATGTTTCCTATCTCCGTATAAAAGATGCATGAGCCTTCCTTTATTGTCGGATGCACTGTGATGTTTTACCAGACAAGTGTGTGAGCAGATTCAGAGCGCAGTTCGTGTAATAAATGCTTATTAATATTTTTGTATGATCAGAGTGAAGGCGACAAGCGGCGCTCGACAAAAAATGATGCAAATGCGACACAATTTGTGTTTTTGTCACAGACCTTGTCGCATCCTCACCGGGGTTCGTCCTCGCTCTGAGTTTGGGCCCCGCCTTTCTGCCGGCTCCTGGGGGACAAGTGCACGGCATCAGAATGAATCGAAAGAGCTTCGCAAAGGTTTCATATACATAAAGCCAGCAACACGTTAAGATCTGAAATTTTACCTGTTTAAAAAAAATGTCAGCCCAAAGACATTTCCAGATTCAGAGATGGCGCCCCCTGCTGTGCCTGCTGCATTTACTGTTTTTAGCCTCTATCCATTTTCAGAATGAACTGAGTAAATTAAACTTTATAACATTGAGCCTCGTGTTTAGATAATAAACTATTTCGTTTCCCGTTTTTGAAATTTATGACTATAACCATACATGAGATCCTGCTGGTGTGGGTCTCCTCGCATTCAATGCAAGATAAATGCTGCTTGAGTGCTTGAAAACGTTTGCTTGCTGCGTATGTTTTTTTTTGTTCTTTTCAGAGCACTTTATGTAGTTTTTTAAATTAATTTGTACTACAACTCTTGCAGCTTTTATAGCATCAGCGGTACCTCCTGAAGAAGTGTTCGCTCAGCCCTGATTGGAGAACTCTATAATGAATCCCTTTGCAGAGTTGTAGAGTTAAAGGTGACCAGGTCAGTTAGATATTACTCATTCCTGACTAATTCAGCTCTGCAGAGTGAGGAGAAAAGCCCCGCCGGCCTTTACACTCACTGAGCTGATGAGGAACTGGAGGAGTAAAGTGATGTAGGAGCCGTCATGGATGGACTATTGAGGTTTAATGGTGCACGAGAGCGAGAGAGCGAGAAAGAGGAAAGAGGGAAAAAGAAATTTTATTAAACACCTGAAATTAAATGTCTGATCAGAGAGCATTCTTATCTCCACTCTTTTGTCTGCCTATCAAAAAATCATGTTCTTTAGGCTGTTCGGGATTAATTACTATCCAGCCTTTTTATTCCATCCAGCCTCATTTCGCCTCAAAAGGACAGCAGCCTGGTAACCGTCAGAAAGAGAACATTACTCATTTCCTGCTAAAAAGAGAAACCCAATCAGAGCTGCTGTTGTAATTTTCTGTTTACATAATGCGGTTTGATTTTCACTCGCTTTTTTCTGTCTCTGCACGTCCATTACGTTGACCCAGTCTTTGACTAGCATGCTAATATCGTAACTCTGTTTCCAAATCAGCTTTGCCCCTAAAGTGGATTCTCTCTTTTCTCTCTTTGGCCTCTTGTTGCTAGGCTAACATTATCAGAGACCACAGAAGTTTCATTTAGCAGGCAAGTGGCTAACAGAAAAAAACAAGACAGAAGATACGAGAGGTAAACAAACTAGGAGCGCGCTTTGAACTGTTTACTGTAACCTAGTTAGGTAATGAAGTTTAGCGAGGCCTAGTATGAACAGATCAGATCTGCCAGAGAATCTGGGGCCGGATTCACAAAAGCTTCACAAAAACTTGTGAAGGTTCTTAAGACAAACACTAAGAAGTCCATTTGAATGTTCTTAAATGCAGTTCTCGAAAAAAACTTCTCAAATATTCTCTTAAAATAATCTTAATTCTTAATAATCTTAATTTTCTTATATATGCTATGTTGCAATTTACCATGCACCATAAACGACAATAGAAATGATGCGACATGTTAACTTTATGAAGTTTGGGGTTGGTTATAAAATATAGCCCAGGTCAGACCACGCAAACACACAGTCGACGTCAGAGCAGTAAATAATCGGACAGCACTTAAAACATTAATGAAGTTCATTCAGACTATCTCAGCAAGCTGCAGTAACAAATGAGAAAGTTCCTGCCAGATGGCTGTCACTGATTGGTCACACTGAAAAAAGGATTTTGTCGAGTGAAATTATCTTAATTCCAGTCGATATGTCTAATATTTCTTATTTTGTACTTATTTTTTACCTGTTTTCAGTAATTTTATTCCGTAAAATTATCTCACTATACTGGCAGATACATTTGTTTGGAAATAAGTTAAATAATCTTAAATTAAGCTTACAGGAGAAATATTGGATATATTGACTAGATTTAAGATAATTTTACTTGACAAGATACTATTTTTTTGCAGTGCAGAATCTCTGTTTTGGTCCAAAAGCTGCTGTTCATGGACCTGAATCTCAAACTTAAAGAGTAATTACACCCCACTGTTTTCAGATAACTCCACCCCTGGCTTATCAAATGGGAGGGGCACGTTGGGAGGGGCCCTGCAGTGATCTACGGGTTTGGAGGTGGGGCTGGGAGGGAGGTTTTATAGTTAACGTTAGCTCCCAGAAAATATGAAGAGTGACAGAATTAAACAGCGTTTTTGTAGCTGAGAGTCTTACGAGGCTGACGATTTTTCTCTACTACCATCCCCATCTTTGGTGAGGGAAGGTGTTTCTGATCGGGCAGTCCATGTCGAGCCTGAACAGTATGAGCCTCTGACTCAAGCTGCCGAGGAGTTAACGTAGAAAATGATTAACAGCGAGCGGCTGAGGCGCCGAACAGTAGAACATTCCCTAAAACCATGACAGCTCGCTTCTAACTATCTGTTCAGCAGGTCCATATTCAGTATAACCCGAGTCCTGATTTCCTAGATGCCCTGATTTCTGAATTAATGAAGTGGCTGTTATCCAGGGTTTGCTGCAGTGGCCCTAAATCCTTACGATCTGCAAGCTGCTCATGGCAGCTTCATGGAGACTTGCAAGAATCCTCACCTAATCGGCCCTTCAGGTTACCCAATCATACCTCGAACGTTATCAATAAATGTGCTAATCATAACAACCTTGTGAGGTGGTGCTGGGGGTGTTGTGGCACGGGTAGGGCGTCATTGGTGGGGGGTAACGTTGTTTGACAAATTTGCATACTGTGCCGTGTCATCATACTGTGGTACGAAGACATGTCATCCACGCCTGTAGCAGGAAAAAAATGATATTTTTACAGTTTGGAAGGATGTGTTCACATTTCACACAAGTCTGGTGTAAATTGTTATTACAGAGCAGTGCAGTTCAGCTTTTAATGAAAAAAAAGGTCTTAGGGTGGAGTTACTCTTTAACCTATCCTGGAGTGGGTTAGACATGCAGCATACATTGCTGATTTAGTGATGTAGCCACGGTGCTGTAGTCAGAGCCGGTTTATGAGGAGGCTGGCCACTTCCTATTTCCCCCATTACATCAAAAACTTGACTGCAAAACAGCAGAGGGCGCCCTTGAGTGAGTCCTGAGTGAATGGGAGTAAATGGAGCGCAGTGGCTAAAAATGGAAAGTTAAAATAGTTTCTAATCACTCACCCAGAACTTTTCTTTAATTTTAGAAAGTAGAAGGATGTATTTCACTTAAAAAGCAAAGAAATCTCAGCTGTATGTTTTACTTTTTCTACAGCAAACAGGGTTTTGGGCAGCAGGGCGCTAACATTACTGCTACTGAGTGCTGATTGCTGATTTACGTCATGGACGTACATGAGGCGTCGCTTTAAACTCCTATAACTCGAGTTTAAAAGCTCTTAAATTATATAGCAGCAGCGTTAAAATGTTTTATGTTGTTCTGTGTTCAGGAAATGAATGAATTCTTTTACATTAAAAAATGTTTAAACATTTGTAAACATTGATTTTGCTCAAATGCTCCATATTAACTCATTCATTTTGGACTCGCTCTAGAGCGCCCTCTAGCATTTGAAAAACCCGGAAGACATTACAGAGTGATAATTCTCCTCTCCACAAGTTCTCTGGTGTAGTCTGGTAAAAGGTGATTCACTGTGTTTGGGACAGAAAGTCCAGGGTTAAAGGTTAGCTGGATAGGAAAGCTCTTAGTTACCTAAGCAAGAATCACTTGTAATCATTAGTAAAGTATCGAATTCTTAATCATACTAATATAATTAAATTATTGTAAATAAGTTCATGATGCATGTAATTGCAAGAAAAAACTTCTTCTCCAAAGGTACATCAAAAGGTAGCAGAGCTCGACCTGTGTGCTGATCCACTTTAATTGCTGGATTTGCACCAATGCTAGACTCTCTCTCTCCTCTCCAGGCTCTAATCTCTCTCGCCCAGCGAAAGGCCAGCGAATCCCAGCACTACCAGGGCCTGGAGGGATTTCTCACTCTGGGACTCGACCTCAGCTGTGTCCAGCCAAGCCCAGCTCCACCTCACACCCCTACAGAGAGGCGCTCACACTCTCAGGAGCTAATGACAGGTTAGTACTAGGCCTTAAAGTTCATCCAGTGAAAAGGCCATTTGACCTTTAAGATCATATGTTTTTGAAGGAGGATTTAAGACCATCTGACCAGACATATAGGCCATAAACCAGACTCAGGCTTTAGATCCTTTGAAAAAATATGGACACATGGTTTTTAACCCTTTTGTAACCCTTCTATAATCTTTTGATGCACACAGTTGTTCTGACAGACTGTAATACACCACAGGAAGTGTAGGGGGCGATATGGCTTCTACTGTTTCATTTAAAAAGCTCTATAATGTTCATATGATCCACACAGTCACTCTGACAGACTGTAATACACTACAGGAAGTGTAGGGGGCGATATGGCTTCTACTGTTGCATTTAAAAAGCCTCTATAATGTTCATATGATCCACACAGTCACTCTGACAGACTGTAATACACTACAGGAAGTGTAGGGGGCGATATGGCTTTTACTGTTTCATTTAAAAAGCTTCTATAATGTTCATATGATCCACACAGTCACTCTGACAGACTGTAATACACCACAGGAAGTGTAGGGGGCGATATAGCTTCTACTGTTTCATTTAAAAAGCTCTATAATGTTCATATGATCCACACAGTCACTCTGACAGACTGTAATACACTACAGGAAGTGTAGGGGGCGATATGGCCTCTACTGTTTCATTTAAAAAGCTCTATAATGTTCATATGATCCACACAGTCACTCTGACAGACTGTAATACACTACAGGAAGTGTAGGGGGCGATATGGCTTCTACTGTTTCATTTAAAAAGCTCTATAATGTTCATATGATCCACACAGTCATTCTGACAGACTGTAATACACCACAGGAAGTGTAGGGGGCGATATGGCTTCTACTGTTTCATTTAAAAAGCCTCTATAATGTTCATGTGATCCATGAGGTCATTCTGACAGACTGTAAAGCATTACTCTGACAGCAGGGGGACAATTTGGCTACTGGCAGCGACGAAAGGGAAAGGAACCGAAGAAGGCTGAATAGTCTGATTAGCTGATTAACAGAATTAATAAAAGAAATAATCATTAATTACAAGCCTACTATTTCCCAGCGACTCACAGTACTTGTTTTGGCAGGTTTTTAACTGAACCTAGACGTTCTGGCCAAACTGGCATCAAAATTTCCTAAAATTTATGTATCATTACGGCCAAATTGATGTGCTGGTGGCCACCACCGCATGGCCACCATTAAATTTATACCCTGGTTGGTGCACAAACAAGATAAGGATGTAATTTCAGCACAACAAAACCTGTGTAGCTCTCGACTTGCAGAGGATTAGATGGTAAGATAGCGATTTGTTGGACCACAACTGTGCCGCAAGTCGCATTTCGTTCAGTGTTATTGTTCCACACGGAGAGGAGCTGTTTAATAAGTAATGCAGAAAATGAAAGACATCTATTTCTCTGTCTGGAGGGACAGTTTATGGACACCTGAGACCGGAGTGAGTGAGTGTGGACAGCATTACCATAGAAATGGAGGAAATGTGTTACCTAAGGGGGTTCTTCACTTACGTCATGGTTGATGGTGTTCTTGTACCCTCCGTTCTCCTTATTTGCTGTGATTAAATAGGCACGTGTGTGTCTGTGTGCGTGTGTGTCTGTCTGTTCGCAATCAAATCCAAATTGTCATCCAACTGTGCTGATTCTAATTCACTGTACAGAACACATTCGGTCTGTACCGCCAAGGTTATTCCTGTCCTCAATCAAGCAGCTTTAGACAAGCCATGTATTATTCTCTCCCACAGCAACTCTGACATGCTGTATTGTTCAGCCCTTACACCCTCGGCACCCTTTCACTTAAACAGCAAGTGGGAAAGTCTATGAAAAGTATAAATCTTTTCACAGACTCATGGAGCTCCTTAGAAGAAGCTGTTTCTTCTAGCCTGTAGTGTACAGCAGCCAGTAGCACCAGCTGACTGTAGCCTAGTTTGAATGTAAACCGCCACTACGTTTGAGTTTACGAGGAACTTACGGTGCCATAAAAATCAGTTAAATTGGCTGGTCTATTTAATTGATGAGAAAGCTTGCAAGAAAATGAAATATGTCTCGGTTTGGATCGGCAACCAGTTCTGCAGGATGGATCACACGCGTTTCCGTCACAGATCACAGACCTCCTAGACGCAGATTTACATAGAATATACACCGATCAGGCACAACATTATGACCACCTCCTTGTTTCTACGCTCATTGTCCATTTAATCAGCTCCACTTACTGTATAGGTGCACTTTGTAGTTCTACAGTTACAGACTGTAGTCCATCTGTTTCTCTGATACTTTGTTAGCCCCCTTTTACCCTGTTCTTCAGTGGTCAGGACCCCCATGGACCCTCACAGAGCAGGTACTATTTGGGTGGTGGTGTGTGTTGCGCTGGTCTGAGTGGATCAGACACAGCAGTGCTAGTGCAGTTTTTAAACACCTCAGTGTCGCTGCTGGACTGAGAATAGTCCATCAACCAAAAACATCTAGCCAACAGCGTCCTCTGGGCAGCGTCCTGTGACCACTGATGAAGGACTAGAGGATGACCAACACAAACTGTGCAGCAGCAGATGAGCTATCGTCTCTGACTTTACATCTACAAGGTGGACCAACAAGGTAGGAGTGTCTAATAGAGTGGACAGTGAGTGGACACTGGTGTTTAAAAACTCCAGCAGCACTGCTATGTCTGATCCACTCAGACCAGCACAACACACACTAACACACCACCACCACATCAGTGTTGCTGCAGTGCTGAGAATGATCCACCACCCAAATAGTACCTGCTCTGTGAGGGTTCATGGGGGTCCTGACCACTGAAGAACAGGGTAAAAGGGGGCTAACAAAGTATGCAGAGAAACAGATGGACTACAGTCTGTAACTGTAGAACTACGAAGTGCTACAAAGTGAACTCACCACCTGAGTGTAGAAACAAGGAGGTCATAATGTTATGCCTGATCGGTGTATAACACAGATTAGTTTTAAAGTATAACTAACATAGCTAACATTACCTTTTTGTCATTCAACAGATTGAAGTAGCGATTACATTAGCCGCACCTTCGCTAACATTACCGACCGTTCATTGATAAAGTGCCATTAAAATATTTGTACGAGAGCCCAGTTTGAACATCAGAAAAGAGTCCAGCAGCAGAACAGAATAAACACACATACAAGAGATGGACGCCATTTTCCTGTTTACTGATTGGCTGCAGAGTGAAAACATCATTCTGTGCATCAGTGTTTTGATCTTAACTAGCATTACTAGTTAAGATGTACCGTAAGTGTCTGTGGTGCAACCAAAATTCTGTGTTTCGCTAGTTTTAAACCAGCTTCTCTCAACGTGAGATTTAAGATAGACTTTACAACCCAACTTACGATCAAACCTACGTTCAGCTGGTGCAACTGGCTGCAAAACATGATCTTTTTCTCTTTCATCTTTAGGTGGTCCAAATGTACTAATCCAGTCGAGGGTTAAAGAAATAGGAAAAAAATGTCGTTTTCCCGCTTAGTTGATCAGAAAAGACGTTTGCTTTTTGAATAAGTTGTAACAAGTAACAACAAGCTAACATGTAATGCAAGCTTATAGTTTCTAGGTTAGCATGGGGCTAACTGCATGCCTACACACTTCATCACACACCTCAAACCAGGTCAAGTTGTTAAGTGTTCTCTAATAGACTTGCTTGCACTTAATGGCCAAAGGTTTGTGGACACCTGAACATCACATCCATATGTGCTCATTGAACATCTTATTCCAAAACCAAGGGTGTTAATAGTGAGTTTGTCCTCCTTTGCTGCAGTAACAGCCTCTACTCTTCTGGGAACGCTTTACACTAGATATTGGAACATTGCAGCAGGGATTTGCTTCATTGCAACAACAACATTAGTGAGATCAGGCGTTGATGTGAGGCCTGGCTCTCAGTCATTGTTCCAGTGCATCCCAAATGTGTTAAATGAGGGTAAGGTTGAATGAGGTCAGGGCTCTGTGCAAGTTAAACCAAACTACACAAGTTGTTTCTTTATTAAGCTCGCTTAATTATTGGGGCATTGCTATGCTGAAACAGGAAAGGACCTTTTCCAGACTGCTACCATAAAGTTGGAAGCAGCAATAAGATTTCCATTCACTGGAACCATGAAGAACAGCCCATTATTCCTCCTCCACCAAACTTTACAACTGGCATTCTGCATTCAGGCAGGTGGCTTTCTCCTTCATCCACCGAAACCAGATTCGTCTGTCAGACTGCCAGATGGTAAAGCATGATTCATCATTCCAGAGAACATTTTCACTGCTCTAGAGTCCACTGGTGCCCCTAAAAGGGCCACGTTTTTACTCCAGCCCAGCTTGCAACACGTAAGGAAAGAGCCAAAATGTGGACCATCTAGGGGACCCTGAGGACCAGCTGGAGAACCACTTCTTTACGCCACTCTAGACTCCATCTTAGGCTTGTGTGCAGCTGTTTGGTTGGCATGGTCGCTAAGGAAATCCAAGCCATGAAGCTCCTAGCATTGCTTACAGAGTCTGTTTGGAGCTTGGTAGTAATGTGCTTCAGTGCTCGGACCCCAAGAGGATGTGTGGCTCACCGCTTCACAGCTGGGCTGTTGTTGCCCCTACATGTTCGCACCTCGCACTAACAGCACTTACGGTTGACTGGGGAAGCTCTAGCAGGGCAGAAATTTGACAATTTTGTTGAGAAGGACGCATCCTATGATGATGCTTCATTGAAAGTCACTGAGCTCTGGTAAAGTTTGTCTATGAAAACTGTATGATTGTTTGCTTTATTTATGCGCCTGTTAGCAATGGGTGCAGCTGAAATCTCTAATTTGCCTTTAATATTGTCCAAACTCTCACCAAAAACCTCTGTATGCATCATGCTAACACTCCAGGTTGTTTTTACTGGAAGTCTCTGAAGAAGCTCTGCTGCGCACCTATGAGCACCTTGATGAATGTCACTGTCTTTTGTGCAGCGTGTTATTTAGACGCATAATTATTCTATCCTTAGATGGATTG